AACAGTAAATTGAATCTTGGGTTCTCCTGGTCAGGGTAATTACACACTCTTCAAAACACACTTCTTTGGTCTCTACTAACAGTAAATTGAATCTTGGATTCTCCTGGTCAGGGTAATCACACACTTTTCAAAACACACTTCTTTGGTCTCTACTTACAGTAAATTGAATCTTGGGTTCTCCTGGTCAGGGTAATTACACACTGTTCAAACACACTTCTTTAATCTCTACTTACAGTAAATTGTTAAGAATTCCTTCCGGTTTTCTGCTTATTTATTCTAAAGCTTACTTCTACAGCTCCAGCGTTTTTATTATTTACACTGACTTCATGAGATCAATTTTCTCGGAAACTTACAATCGATTTCTATTAGGTTCTGCCCACTTGCGGAATAAAACATTTTTACACGTGGTTGATTTTGAAATAACGACAATTTATATATTTTTATCGCCAGATTTTATTTCTGATGTTAGGATTAACCTTTTTTGTGGATACTTGGCACCCTTCATAAGTAAAATACTCAGATTGGACACTGGATGTAAGTATAACTATTCTATTATTTATAAATGTTAAAAGCGCTTTGTACTTATCTCTCTCTACACAATGAAAACACATTTATACGTTTTTTTCTTCAGAAAAATGGGTATTCCGAGCTTTTCCTTGAAATAATCACTCTTCGTTTTTTAAATGGAAAACCCAGTCCCCTTAGCAATACTACTGTACCCAAATGGCCTTGATTCTTAAAAAACAACTCACTAAACTTCTACATAAATATTACATAAAACTTCAATTTATAATTGTCTTTAAATCAATATATCAAATAAAGTATTTCTTTTATGTGAAAGACTGCATTCCAACCCCACTTCATTCATTGATCACTCGCATAGATAAATGTGGTAGCCGCAAATCTACTAGTATTGGTAAAACTAAATGCCATTTAATTGTATGTATCATGAAGGTCACCTTTTATCATCTCTCTACACATATTCAATCCACACACAGTGCAATTATTGGATACAAGATCTCAACTGACTTTAAACGTTTAAGCTACGTTTAAGAGATTCTATTTATTAAACAAAATCTCCCTAGTTTAAATAATAACTCAATTTATGTTGAGTTAAGCTTGTTTTTATTCTTTCTCAAAAGTTATATAGATGCGTGTACTTATTTATTTAATGTGGGTCTGTATCCAAATTCATCTACTGGATTTGACACACACATTCACCTCCCTTTTGAATCTCAACCTCTCCCTTACAAACGTTCATCGTAGTACATAAGCTTTTATTTAACATTTAGGTGTTTATTACTGTAGAAATTTCTCAAGATGGAATGTTTATATTCCGACACGTACAATAAATATGTTGTTATTCGTCCTACTGCGGCTGTATTGCTCATCATTAGTCTATGTATGGACTATATTACAAAAAGTCACGCAGTACATTACTACTATGTCAGAAAAAGTAATAGAAGTCAGTGAGTACATTACTACTATGTAAGAGATGGCACTAGATGTCAGACAGTACACTACTTATATGCAAATAATAGCACTAGAAATCAGCCGTTATATTACTACCATGTAAGGGATAGCATTAGAAGTTACGCATTGCATTTTTACTATGCAAAGAATAGCACTATAAGTCAGCCAATAGATTGCTATTGGGTTAGGAAAAGATACTAGAAGTCAGTCAGTACATTACTATTCTGTATGGGAAAGCACTAAAAGTCAATCTGTACACTACTACTATGTAAGAGATAGCACTAAAAGTCAGGCAGTTCATTATTACTATGTATGGAATGTATCACTATAAGTCCGGGTGGCGGATGATAGATATGGAGGTTTACTTTGAGTAATCAATAAGCAGCCGCGAAGCAGCTGGTGGCGGTTGCAGAGGGTGAGGTGGGATAATCGTGTGGTGCGTTATACTTAAATAAGTACCTCAATAGGCAAGATAAAGGGACCATCCGGCGAGTCAGAGGCTTCCAATAACCTCAACTCTCACTGTCTTGTCGGTTAGTCACAAGGTCGAAGTCACTTTCACTAGCTGGCACCGAAAAAACCGGCTAGTGCCCAAGTGAACAGCAAGTGAAAAAATGAAGTTCTGAGAAGTGAAATAGTTATACATAAACTATAATATTCTCTTCTTACTTTTACAGATCATGGTGGTGTGTTAGTGATGTTGTGTATCATGTTGTATGGGGATATGTATTTTCACCATGGTTTGAGGGTAGCAGCAATCTTATGAAATTCAGCTGTGAGTGAATTTCGGTTGTTTAGATATGAGTTCTTGTACTATTTGTAGTGAAGTGTGTTTTTCCACCTAGCATGCTGGTGTGTAGTGAGGGAGGCGATGGGCAACACGTATTGCTGGTTTTGAAGTGTCAGAAGTTGGTTTTGATTCATGCTACATGTTATCATCGAACCATAATCTATTAATGAAGTTACTACCACGGATGTGACTATTACCGATAATAGGACATTTCCTGATGGAGCACATGAACCACACGTGAAGCAGAAGTCAACGAGACTGAGACCAGTATGGAAGAAGATACGTCCCGT